CTTTCCGGAGGGTTGCCCATATTTGCTTCGGGCGCAAAAAAAAAGCGCGCATATCGCTCATTGCCCATTATTCCCAGCCAACCAGATGTTCTATAGATACATATTATAGGTGTAAAGCAACCGTTGACAATGGATATTTATTTATCTAAAGCAGCCGATACGCAACCGTTGTCAATCAGTTGTTTATCCAACTACGGACTAAAAAGAATGGTTATATATTTACTGTATGTGCGGGCGACTAAGCTGAATCGCTTTTCGCAATGGTGCTTAAAAACTACTTGACCGACTTAAAAAATTCTTTCACCATTAGAATTCTGTTATGACTGTGAAACGTAGGATGCATATAGAGGGCGCATATATATCAACGAATATGTTTTTTTAGCTAAATTCGTAAAGTAATTGACCGATTTTGAAAATTCTTTCACAACTAGAATGTTATGTATAATTTATACATGTCTAATGTAGAATACATTTTATTACAGAGGGCGCTACTTTTTATGAATATGGTTTTTTGGTTAATCTCAAAAAGTAATTGACCAATTTTGAAAATTCTTTAACCGTTACATTGCTAGCTAGGCGTTAGTTATGTGATGAAATTATATTGTTATAATAATTATTTGTGAGATTAATATTTTCCAAATAAATAAAAGTAAATACCTACCTAAGATGATCAACTCCAATTGTTATTTTTACAATTTAAGAATCATATTTACACACTTTACCTACTTAGGTTGATTATTATAGATATTGGTAATTATTCTAAAATAAAAGAGCTCTGCTTAAACGAAAAAATAATTTATTAAAATAAAAATAAAGTTGAAAATAAAGTGGCCCAGTGCGAGTCGGACTCGCAGGCCCATGAAGAATTCCGTAGTAACAAGCGTAGATTCTACATCAAGGTAAAATACCACTATTATTATCGTGAGCAACAAATTACTTTGTTTTTCATAGTGTTTGTATAAATTACAAAGTTTTATTTGCGGTTCTTGAAAATGTGCTACTTGTATCTCAAAAAAAAAAAGATCTATTATTCATTGTACTGTGTTACTGGGCTGTCTGTGGTTTATTAATTACCAAAGATAAAAAAGTTATTGCACAAGAAAAAAGTTGTTATCAGTTTCAAGCCATCAAAAGCGGTTGTCAACCGTTGAAAACGAAAACAACCGTTGTTATCGGCTCGGTTTAAATCGTTGACAACCGCCTTCACATCTATAATACTGATACATAGTTAGAGCGGTTGAATAGTAATGCGCCGAGATTGATGCCCATGCGTTATTATACTAGTTATTAAAGTATGTAAGTTTTTTGTAAATATTAAGGATACGAATAATAATAATAAACATTTCTTTCTTCCATATTTTACACAGATACATTTATTTCATAAATAGTTTAAGTATTTTTAGTGGTTGTCGGAGACAGGATCCAAAACCGGTGTGCTATTGGTGTCCTAACTCCTCCTCTTGGCTTTATTACAATTCGGTGATAATATACATAAACATGAAGTGAGCGTTGCATGTGAAGATTGAATATAATGTTTCTAAAATGTAAATAACGATAAAACTCACATTGATTATATGTATCATGCAATATGATAAATCTATATCGAAATAATATACAAAATCATAAATTTATACACATATATGTATATATATTTGTAAGGGTTCTAGCTCAATAAAACACAGGTACGAATTTATGAAACGATGTTTATTAATAAAACACAAAAATTTAATTAATTTATTACCTCTTAATAAGGTTTATCATATTTCAATGTACGGTTTTGATTGCTTGATCGCAGTTTTGCGCACAATATATTTCAATATAATGACGTGATATTGTTTAATGACATCCATTAGTTCGAAAAATCGTGAACATTTATTTACTCGTAATTGCATTATATTATATACACATAAAATTCCATTTTCGATTAAGGAAAGTTCATTTCAGTTAAGAGATAATAATATAATTATATTCGTTGACGAGTCCTCTGTGTTTGTATACTATGTAGTCATGAATTGACGTATCGAATCACACGAGTTTTAACCTTCGGGGGGAAAAATAATATTTTTACTGGTAGCCCAACCTATATGAACTCCCACTGGCAACACTATACACCTCATGTCAATGTGAATTTTTCGTGCCGAATCAGCGAGTCACATCTACAAATTAAAAAGTTTAAAATTGGTTTTTAAGTGAAAGTTCTTAATTTTATTATTAGCAACATGTGAAAACTTACTTACTTAACACTCATAAACGTTTTGGACGATTGTAATGTATGTAATTTTTGCGTTTAAATAACTTGTAGGGTAGATTAACTATAACGTGAAATGTGAAAACTATATTTGAAACTGAACAAGCTTCTATAAAAAAAAAACATAATTTTTCAATAAACTTAATTTGTATATTGTATTTATGTATAAAATGCGTATATTTCATAGGTATTTAAAAAAAAACCTGTAGGGCAGATTAATAAAATAGCAATATAAAATCAATGTATAAGACACAGCAAAAGTCACACATATTATCTGTCTTGCGGCGCCACGATTCATTGAATTGATACGAGACATTGCGATAGCCTGAACATGTAGGTACCAGGTTAGTTTTACGTGTTGTTCATAAAGAAATATAAATCATTCTTATGGTACAAAACAAAAGAATAAATTATTTAATGTTTTAATGAGCATGAAATCACTTATTTCTATTAAAACTTATTCATATCCGCTCAATATAAGACGATTGAAAATCTCATTAAATTAGCAATATATAATAATACTATATTTTATTTGTTGTTTCAGGATCGGATAATGTTATATTACATATATTTCCAAACCCAAGCAAACAAGCTGATCGATTTCGTTCTTGGGTGTATGCCATTGGTGGAGACATTTTAGCAATGAACGATGACAATATATTTAAGTACCGCAGAGTATGTCATCTCCACTTTGAGTCGAAGTATTACACATGGAGTAAAAGACTTGCACCCAATGCAGTACCAACTTTACATTTGCCAGGTAAATGATGTTTGATTCAATGTGTGATCAAGCTCAATAATTTTTGGTATTATGTAAATATGATTCTTAATATTTCTTAAAAATATAATATTGAAATTTTATTCTATACCGATTATAATAAGTTATAAACACATGCAATTGTAATTAGATTTTTACCTTAGAATATATAATACAAAACAGTTAATTACACATTTTTAATTTCTGTATTTTTTCAGGCTGTTATATAAATGTTGGTTTTGATCACCAGCCATCAACAAGCACTGCAAAGCCTAGCATCTCACTAGCACCTGTTGAAGGTAATTTCAAATAGACAACTTTTATTCAATATTGTTGAAGTGTAATATTTTCTTTCTATGAGACTAGCAGACTGTACCTTTGCATTGACAACTTAAATATGTAAACTAAAAATTAATGTACATATAAACCTTTGTCATGAAATATTCTTATCTGAATGATGGTGAAAATTGCATTTTATTTTTATTTTGAATATAATATTCAAAATTTTTCATTCAATCTGATTTTAGTTATGAATATGATATTTATAATTATCATATGAGTCAAACATTACAGAAGAAATCATTCTTGTATTATCGTCATTTGCAAATCTACAAACTGGGTTTGTAAATTGTTAGTGTCTCAACTCTTAACTAACCAACAAATTTTACATTCATTCTTGCAAATGAATAGAAGCGATGTAGTGGTATAAAAATCTTCATTATCCCATATCTTTCTGTGGGTGCCATAAAAGGTGATAGAGGGAAATAATGTAATAATAAATAAAAATAACAAAAAATCCTGTGGTTGCCAACGAAGCATGGCAACTATTGTAAATGTACTGCCTATGAGGTAATTTATGTAAGAGATACATTAGCCAAATAAATAAATAAATATATTTTGTAAAGGTAGTTTAATTAATAACTTAACCATTTAATAAATTTATCGTTAATTTTTTTCCAGATAAAATAATTCTATCCAATGACTGCAAGGATACTGCCGACACATTATTATTTTTTGATAAACTCTTCGACTCTTTAAATGGGAGCTATGAAAATAATAAGAAAAGATGTGGTAAATCTCTTTTACGTGCTTTAACCCCAACATCATCTCATCAATTAGTGTGGTATAATGCTACACCAGTTTTTAATTATTGCTTACAAAAATAAACTTCTAAACAAATACATATATGTAATTTTATTGCGGTTTAAATTTTATTCATGCTAAATATCATTACATAATGTTTTAAGTACAATTCAGACTTAAAACATAATGTTTATAATGAAATAAATTAAAGTAGACCTCTATATATCCAACTCATGTTATTATACGTAGTTATATGTATATTCAATATATTTTAGTTCCGACACAGAACTGTAGTAGGCGCTGGAGTCGCATTACTTAACTGCCAACTCTATTTCGGATTATTCAATGTACTCTGTGCGGAAAACTGTCAGTATACAGTAATCTATGACTGTCAGTTTGCACGAGTCTAACTAACAACAGCTGATTTTGTTAAAGCGGCGGCAAACTAACCTATAAAATTGTTAAACCCGTTCAGTGATTCGATTATTGTGAGTGTTAAGTGAAAATGATATAAATTTCGTAATATTATTTTAGTACAACGTAAATTTGTATGCTGGTTACAATATTTTCACTCAAATAAGTGGTTGTGTACGGAAATAGTATTTTGGACCTACGTTTTTGATGTAAACAATCTGCGCTGTTAGTAAATTTTCAAATTAACACCTTTTTTATCAATTGCTAAAAATATTTTATAACATCATTGCGTAAATACAACACTAAGTTAAGTTTTATATTAGATTTTTTATATTATCGGCTATTTTAGTTATTGTTTACATCTTTGTATAACATAACCTCAACTGCTATTGGTATTATTGCGAAAGCATTAATTTATTAGTAATATTTCTGGTCCGTATGATCAGATATATTTGTAGATTCGTAGCAAAAACAAAAAGAATAACAGATCTCAAAAAAATGGAGGGTTCTAATTCAAAAATAAAAAGTGACCACTTAGAAGATGTTCCATCGAAAAAGTTTAAATTCAGTGATGATGAGCTTCCGCAAAAAAGAACAGTGGCTACTATGTGTGGTGCTTGGAGACCAGAGGAGGAGGATGGTGGCTTTATTTTGGTTTTTAAAACTCGAAAACCGTGTCTAAGTCCGGATCCAGAAAGGGAGTGTGACTATCCAGAGAATATCGAAGACTTCTGGGAGGCAACTTTCCAGAGCGACGTTGATAATCAGGTGAGCGTTCAAATTAATTTGTTGTATGTGTATTCTATTTCTATCAAGCATGGAGTATAGAGGCAATCAAGAATTCTTGAATAACTGACATTTAAAGTAAATCCTAGCGCCATCTATTAGACTGTATGTAGAGTAGTACTTGGCAAACGTAGTATTGGGTTGAAGAGTTGCACATACAATTGTATAGATGGCACTTTTTATACTCCATGAATGCACAGTGCAAACATTCTTCATCTTCTAAACTAACACTATAACAATGTATATACGAGGGCACACTTAGGGGAGGGAGGAAGGTACAGTTCCATAATAAGGCATTTGGACATAGAAAGTACCGCCATCAATTGTATGGTACGGGTTATAATTTCCTCGGTTTATGTAATATTAGTTAGTTAAACACTCAATAGATAGCAGAATTTAAGAAGGGAGCAGTGATCCATGTTACGCATTATATTTCCATTGCAGTTTAAGAACTTTGATATTTTCATTTTAATATCTTTGCAATTTTCTCATTAAAATTATTTTTATTTATGTATTAAATTACAAACTATAAATTTTGTAATATAAGATCACATTATAATTGTTTAATACATAATATTATTGTTAAGTGTTAATTGTATTGTTAATTATTGTTAAATTACATAAGTGTGGTGTTATGTACTAGCCAGTAAATATTCAGTTTATGGTGCTTTATTAGTCGGTTTACTTAATCGGATGATGTCTAATGTGTTAGTGTTGCTGAAAATGGTGTCTAAGATGCCTCCATAATTATCTCAAATTGAGTGTCCACATCATAGACTTGTTATACTACTGCGTATATGTATATTATTATTTCTGTGCATCATCTGTCAATAATATAATTAAATCTCTATGAAAATAATTGTTTTATTTCTAAACTATTTAAAGTATTTCTGTGTTCCATTCGTATCAATGCTTATTAATGTTCATTTATTACTATATCCATTCTAATTTTCTACATTCAGATGTAGAAAGTTGAAATGGAAATAGTATATAAATGAATATAATATGTAATATTGAAGGTGGGGGTGAGCAATGAGCAATATACGTATACACACGCACACATTCACAGAGCATTATCGTGAGACTGAATTAGAATATATATACACACTCACATATGCATATTATAGTTAGCTAGCGTAACAATCATCAGGTGGCGCTTTTTCCAAGGGGCACCAGTTTTACTCGCAAGAGGGCTCTCTTTTTCCTTATATATTTACTATACTCTTTGGGCACACTGTGATCAGGAATAAGAAAAACCACATGTATGGTATAGCTAAATTGTATTTTATTGTTTTTCGAAGTATTCTCCGTTCAACTTAATGCACTTTACATTCGAACAAACCAATCATTTAAACAGTAATTCCATTTTGAAGTTGATGTTGACAAAATGGCTGAATTGTATGCTTCCACAGCTGCTTCGGGGTCTTCAAACCGATAACCGCGTAATAAATCGTTCATTCCAGGGAATGTAAAGAAATAGTTTGGGCTCAGGTCAGGACTGTACGGAAGATGGCTCATCAGCTCAACGTTTTCCTGCTTCAAAAAATCATTTGTCTTCCAAGCTGTATGGGAGCTATATGTGATGTAAGATGAGGAGTAGATTTTTGTTATTTTGGAGGATATTTGGCATGTGATATACCACTCAGCGGTAACCGTTCTGCGTTCCTGTAAGGGAATTGTAGCAACATGCCCCTTTTTCGAGACAAATGTAGCGACCATTTTCTTTGACACGCTGCGGGAGCGAACCACTTTCGTTGGTTTGACCTCGTCTTCGAAGACCCAAACTGCTGACTGATGTTTTCTTTCAGGTTCGTATGAAATAATCCATGATTCGTCTCCTGAGACGATATTATAAACGGCATTTGACTTCCCTCCGTTGAAGCGTTGCAGAGTATTCCGGCACCAATCTACACGAGCCGCCTTTTGCTCTTCGGACAAATTGTGGGGAAGCCAGCGGGAAACTAGCTTTCTTACACACAGCTCATTATGTAATATCGACTGAATTGCGGTCATTCTGATACTGATAACAGCCCGAATCTGCTCGTATGTCACATGACGGTCATCTAATATAATAGTGCGCGCAGCTGCGATGTTTTGAGGCGTGACCGCTGTTCTTGGTCGACCTGCAGAAGAAACAGTGCTGCAAACACACGACCGCAACGGAACTCGGCATACCAGCCATGGAGGTTAGAGAACAGGAGAACAATCGCCGTAGAAAATAGTGTCCCAGAAATATGGAAACCATTAGTAAGGCGCTGCGATCGTTAAGTTCACTCAATAAAAGTCATTTTCAGTCTATTTTTCCGATCAGATGCTAAAGCACTTGCACATACACGCATCATAAAATATTTCTCCATGTTTTAATGTTTCTTTTTCCACGCATAATAAAATATTTCTCCATTTTTAAATGTTTCTTTTTGTCAAAAAATAAAAAATTACGAAGCATGAAAATTTTCTCACCAATGCCGCGAAGAAAATTTGTGCATTATTCAACTAACTTCATCTATTTGTACTCATAAACAGCTAACTTCGCAGCCACTACTCACCGACGGCAGCGCCGCTATAAATTCTACAGATTGGAAGGACAGGCGGGCTATGCTTGAGTACGTAGCGATCGTTCTCCTGTTCTCTAACCTCTATGATACCAGCGGTACCTAGGTGGATTGAAAAGTACTCGGCCTAACACAGATCCATTCAATTCTAAAAATCAAATCTACCCACATTATTTAGTTCAGTTCAGACTAGTTCATTGTGTGAAGTTCGAAACGTGTGCGATAATTAGTTGTGATTTTATAAATTTATTAACAAAGTAATCGGACATAATTTCCGCGAATGGAGCAAATCGAGCAGCGTGCCGTCATTAAGTACCTCCATAAGAAGGGGCTATCATCAAAAGCCATCCATGATGACATGGTCAGTACATTAGGCGATTGTGCTCTGTCGTATTCATCCGTCAAAAAATGGATAGCAGAATTTAAGCGTGGTAGAGAGAGTGTGAAAGATGAACCCCGCTCTGGAAGGCCTTCGACGTCAACTACTGACGAAAATATTAAAAAAAGTACTTGATTTAATAATGGGAGACCGCAGATTAAAAATTAGAGAGATAGCCGAGATTATAGGCATCTCTTATGAATGAACTCAAAACATCATTGTCAACGAGTTGGGTTTCCACAAGGTGTCTGCGAGGTGGGTTCCGCGACTGCTTTCAGTTGAACAAAAAAGGACGCGATTGACTATTTCACGCGACTGTTTGGAGTTATTTGAAGCCGATGCAGATGATTTTTTGAATCGTTTTGTTACTATGGACGAAACATGGGTTCATTACTGTACACCGGAAACAAAACAACAATCAAAACAGTGGAGAAGACCTGGTTCACCACCCCCTAAAAAGGCTAAGTCGATTTTGTCGGCAAATAAGGTGATGGCTTCAGTATTCTGGGACTCGAAAGGTGTGATTATGATTGATTATCTTGAAAGGGGTCAGACTATAAACTCTGATTACTACTGCACCTTACTACGTCGTTTACGAGAGGAAATAAAAGAAAAACGTCGAGGAATGCTCAGAAGAAAAGTCCTGTTTCATCAAGATAACGCCCGTGTTCACACGTCAGTACAGTCAATGGCTGAAATTCACAACTGTGGCTTTGAACTGTTACCGCATCCGCCGTATTCACCTGATCTGGCACCATCAGACTTCTTTCTGTTCCCTAACCTAAAAAAGCACTTGGGAGGTCAAAGATTTTCGACAAACGACGAGGTCAAAGCAGCTGTAGACGCATATTTTGACTCTAAGGAAGAATCATTTTTTTTTTCAACGGTCTAAATGCTTGGAAGGGGAGGTGGCAAAAGTGTATTGAACTTGATGGTGATTATGTAGAAAAATAAAAATATAACTGATTTAGTATGTGTTTATTTTCTTGGTTAGGCCGAGTACTTTTCAATCCACCCTCGTATATTGTCGTTTGACTCGGTGTTTCAACATCATAAATCGAAACAAGTTCGCTGATACATTTATCTTGAGATGAGCGGCAACGAAAATTGTGATAAATTATGGCACGGAAATGTTCACGCGTGAGCTCCATTTCTGTTAACGACGTGTCAACTTTAAACCAACAATGATTTTGTTTTTAAACATTTTTTTTAAATTGTTTGAATGTCATTAAGATTCTAAGAGGCCAGTATTCAAATTCTAAAAAAGGTTTTATTGTAACTCAATCCGAAACATTATATTCCCGATCATTTCAGTGTGCCCCTCGTATAGGCTTAAAGTGCTCGAGTATATGCGCAAACATACCTAGTTACACTCCATTCCCTCACTCTCATAGTTCAGGCGCAGGACCAACGGCTTTATGACCTTTCCAAGGTACGAGGGTGTAACACCGTCAACTTTCTGACTTCGGGCTGCTACTGAGAATTCATTGACAGAAAATCCCAATAACTGATTTTGGCTCGACCCGGGATATGAAAGTGAGACCTCGTGATCAGCAATCATGTTTAGTGTAGTGGTCGTACCACTAACAAGGCGCTCAATATTTTAACAGGCTATAGGATTTTGATTCTAGGATAATGTTTTTTTGTTGGTGTTCGTGGGATAATTCCTCATAAATTCACTTAATGGTTCTTGGTTGATTTATTTAAATTGTATCGGTTTCAGGTTGGTTAATATGTTTGTGCAAGAATTTTGTCTGAATTCTCGTTAAACCTGATATTGGATTTCATAATTTAACTAATAAATAAAATAAAAAAAAAACACTTTAAATCTAAGTTTTCTTTGTTTGACTTTCATTTACAAACAAAGGCTTTCCCTCAATGTTAAGTAAGAGTATGTATTATATTTCTGTTCTCTACACTACACTCTAATGGAGTTACCTACTGCTGTGAATTGTAACTGATAAGTAGAGACGTATTAACGAAAATTCAATTACAAAAATGAAGTTGTAAGTGTAATAGAATTCGTTGAATTATAAATTTTCTGTTTCCTATGTAACAAAGCAAAGTTGCTAATTGCAATAATTGTATACAATATTTATTGAAAAGAAATAAAAACTGCGGCATGGTACTAAGAATGCTGGTTGCGTTTTGTCGCTGAATGGCTCAGCTAGTTAGTTCTACATTTTTTGGGATGCGGATAGCGGATACAGTTCCTTTAGAAACACCGACGCGCGTGAGTATCTCCTCTGAGAGGGTTTCTACTCTAATTTGCGCTATTTAAACATCGACCGTTTATGATGTTGCTCCGTTCCTAAACCAGCAACCTCTGAAATGAGAGGATGTAGAGGATGAGGAGAATAAAAGGGCTTTGCATATCGTTTAAGCGACAAGTCATGCTGTCAGTTCTCTTGTCATTGTTTAGAAATATTTCACAAGGTTCTAAAACCAAAAGAAAATTTTTATTTAAAGAGACAAGAATCTTTTAGATAACGTCGCTTGTAGAGAACCGTGATGGGAGAACCTACCCTCACTTTTTCCACACGAAAGTCTGTGAAAAACAAGTTATGGCCACTGCCCCATAAACACAGATAAGGTAACGCTTCTAGTCAGATTCCAAGGCTGTGCACAGCCTTTTACCTTCATGTAATAAGCCGAGATGACTTGATTGCAAATTGTGACCATGAATCTTTAGTCGAAACCACATATATAATAATGAAGGTGATATGCCTAGTAGTTGAAAATGTATCCGAACCGGGTGTCTCCAGTTGGCCCCTATCACGTGCCAACCACTACACAAACAGATCAGTAAAAGCAAAAGATATTAGATACGCAGTCACGCATACACTCGCATTTAATAAATCATAACGTACTACACAATTAATTATAAACCATATCTCTAAAACCACAACGTCCATTTACCATTCACCGTACTACTTACTCACACAAAAATATCGGGCACTATCGTTGTGCTGTAAAAAAGCCATTTATTTTTACATATGCGTTAGTGATTGACTAAATTGGAAACTTATCGATTGTTTCATTTAAACCAAAATTGTACTAAAATTTTTGGGCCCTTATTATAAAATAAATAAAAATAGTAAGAAATCCGATTATGTTGGTTTAGGCTATCATAGCAGATTGAAGTAGTAGGTATTTTGGAACCACGCTATGGTGCTTACTCACTGACCTGTAAAGTGAAGGTATTTGTGCAGCGCTTGACGTTTTTATATTTCTGGAGTGGCATTTTTGTCAAATAGTGTAATCTTAAATTAATGTATTTTTCCATGACTGCTTTTATAAGAAATATAATGTGATTATTCATCGGGGACTGCTCAAATTGGTAAAACTTAACATTAAAAAAATTAAATTTGGCAAAGCCTTTGCCATGAGTTCCTGTTTGACATTTTTAGTTTTAATTGCTTATTTATCATTGGCGAGACAAGCTGTTTTTATGATAATTTTCATTCGCATACAAATTACGCAATATTTCCGCGTAAATAAAGTATTGTTTTGTGATATTTACATTGCTTGTTGAGTCACTTGGCGTCATACTTAGGTAGTGGTTATGGAGCAATGTATTTACTGCAAAAATATTACAGTGGCTGTGATATTTGGAAACAAAAATAACGTAGTAAGAGAAAGAAATATTTTACGATGAGTGTTTAATATGACTTCAAAGATAAATATAGTGAAATACTTGTACTTAGGTATGGTATGTGATTCCATGATTAACAAAGTTTTTGTTTTGGCTTCGGTTTTTACAAGAAACTACTGAACAACATGGGATTCTGATAGATCTATCCATTCGTATAGAAGCTGAGCATTTGATTATAGCGCGCGGACACAGACACGCCACCTTGCCACTTCTCCTGTTTTTAATATTTCTATGGTCGAAACAGTTTAAGCCAGAAGGCGGGCTTGATCATTATTATCATCAATCCCGCTTTCTAGGTATCATTAGTAATTTTAAATCTTTGAAAAATCTTTGCACATTCAGTCCCAACGGAATGTCCCACTGTTTCTATTATTAATCTGCCGGTGGAACATTCTCGCTTGGACACAATGTTTGGCATATATGCCTACAGCAAATGACGGTTTTGCCTTATTATTAGAATATTGGGTATCAATTTTTTATACTTGTAAATAAAGTAGTATAGGGTGCAAATTTTAATATTTTTTCATAAAATCATAGAAGATACCGCAATTTAGAATTCTTGTCTGTCGTACCGTCTGACGTTTGCACCAAATCGCGCACCCGATTTTCATGAAATTGTCGTTATTTTAGTGTTTATCGATTCACATAAAACAATTTTACTCTTGCTCTCCTTGCTGTTCCATATAAAGCGGGGGGAAATATTTACTGTCGATAGTATGTATGGTAAATAGCACACTTGTGTGTAAATATTAAGCATGTATGGAAATAAATAGCATGATTATATGATGAAGGGTTGCTATATAGTTCAGGCATTTCTCGTGTAAATACGTATCCACTAAACATCGCATCGTGGTGATTAGTAGAAAGTCAAAGAATAGCTGAGAAAAAGATAAAATTATGATTGACTGAATTCGTGTTACATTCTAATTCAATAGTAGTATTGTGCCTTGATCAAAATATACCTTTTTAATAGGTTAGGGCAACGGTCCTCAACCCTGGGGTTGCGAAAGATATTTATGGGGTCGCCAAAAAAGTCAAAAAAGGTCCTGTATTTATCGAATTTTATTAAGGTTTATGCATAAAATATAACCTCTCTTTACATACACAATTACACAATGTCCTTAAAACGGAGAGAATCGAAAATAATTACGACTGTACGACCTGTCCAGTCCCGCCGGTCACAATCTCACCGCTCCCGCGCTCGCGCCCCTACCCCGATCGCTCTTTCTTCGTTCAGTCTGTCTGTTCAGTCAGTTCTATCCGCAAATATTGCAAATACATACTAAATTGATGTCAAAACACGGAAGATTACTTCTGTAGAAAGTTTTTATAGAAGATTAGTGTTCTCGTGGATAACCACGCACACGGTAAGTAACTGTGCACTCATACTTAGAAAATAAAGTGAGGCGTCATCGCAGCGCGGCCATGTTGGACGCGTGGGTTCAATAATAAAACCAGCGCGAAATATTTTTTTACGCTTCACTTATGTATTTTTAGGGTTCCGTTTGAGAAACAAGGAACCCTTATATTTTCGTCAAGTCATCTTTGTCATTCATACAAACACTATGAAAAACAAAGTTACAACTAACATCCAGTCATATCATTACTTGCTACAACGGAACCCTTCATGGGCGAGTACGACTCGCACTTGGCCACTTTTTTGCTTGTCTATTTGTGCTTCGTTGAAAATAAATTTGAAGTAAATCCTGTTACCACGCGAGCATATGACGAAAAATCTAATCTTTTGGAATACATTTTTTGTTTATTAATACGTATTTATTATTGCAGTTAACAATGGATAAGTGGCTAATAAAACGCACATCTACAGATGCAGGTAGCGGAAGTCCTAATAAAGCATCACAAATCAAAAGAATTAAACACGTAGTTCTTGACAGCAGTGTTGCCTCAGATTCTACAATGACAACTACTGTTACGAGTAATATAAGTCGTGAGACCAATGCCACCACTTCAAGTACTAGTAGTGTTATTACTATCGATGAAAGCAGAGAAACATCTAGTTCCACTACTATAACTATTAGTCATAAGAGCGATGATTGTAGTTCAACAGCCACATCTACCTTACACATCTATACAGAGAGTGACGCTTCAACTTCAACTAAACAAGCAACAGCTACATCGGAGACAAGTGGGAAGCGTCAACGCATCTTTAAAGAATCGTACATCCAGTTTGGTTTTAAATGTACAGTGTTGAATTTTGAATAACGTCCACAGTGCGTTGTTTGTTCGGAGGTTTTGGCAAATGAGAGCATGAAGCCGGCCAAACTGAAAAGGCACCTAGAAACTAAGCATCCACAGTTAAAAAATAAAGATGAATCTTATTTTAAACGACTTGCCACCAAACTAAAGTCACAGCAGGTTGATTTCCAAAAATACACAACAGTTAACCAAAAAGCCTTACAAGCATCTCTCGAAGTTTCCTTTTTGATTGCCAAAACTAAAAAACCTCACAACATTGGCGAGACGCTCATTTTGCCAGCTGCAATGAAAATGGTTTTGATCATGCAAGGAGAAAAGTATGCAATTTACTGAAAACAATTCCACTATCAAGTGACAATTCCACTATCGTCGTATCAATCTACTTGCTGATGATATCAAAATACAACTTATAGATCGCGTGAAAGGGAGTCCCTATTATGCTATTCAGCTGGATGAAAGCACTGATGTAGCTAATGTAGCTCAACTTCTGATATTTATCCGATACCGATATGAAAACGACATATGCGAAGATTTCTTATTTTGTCAGGGATTAGAAGGAAGAACAACCGGTGAAGCAATTTTTAATGCAGTTAATACCTTTTTTTGAACTCCATGACATAAAGTGGGAATATTGTGTATCTGTGTGTACAGACGGCGCAGCTGCATTGACCGGCTCCAAAACAGGATTCAAAGCAAAAGTAACTGAGATTGCACCTCACGTAGGCTTTGTTCACTGTATGATTCACCGTGAAGCCCTTGCAGCAAAACATTTGCAACCAGATGTAAATAAAGTGTTGGAACAAGTCGTAACAATAATAAATTTTATTAAGGCTCGCGCATTAAACAGTCGCCTTTTCAAAATAATGTGTCTTGAAATGGGATCAGAATACGAAAATCTACTGTTACATACGGAGGTCAGGTGGTTATCGCGAGGAAAAACACTCCGACGTGTATTTGATCTCAAAGATGAAATCAGAATATTTCTACTTGAACGGGAACCAAAGCTAGCGGAATATTTTTGAATGAAAATTGGTTGGCAACAGTTGGCTATTTTTCGGATATTTTTGAAAAACTTAACGATTTAAATCAATCGTTGCAAGGGAAGAGTACAAATGTATTGATTTTAGCTAACAAAATAAAAGCTTTTTTGTAGGAAAATAAGTTTGTGGATAGACGAAATCAGTGCTGAAAACTACGAGATGTTTGCATGTTTGGAAAAATTTTCTGAAGAAAACAATATAAAGCTCGAAGAAGAAATTAAAACCAAAATCATGATGCATCTTACAAACCTTAAGCAAGACTTGGAAATAAGATTCCCAGATACGTCACACGGCGACCAATGGATAATTAATCCACTCAATTGTGATCTTAACACTGTGAAGATGAACTTAAAAGAAAAGGAGCAGCTGATCGATTTAATGTCCGATGAAAGCCTTCGATCTATTTTCAAAACCACGGATCTATCCAAGTTCTGGATAATGACGGAAAAGGAATATCCACTGTTATTCAAAACGTCTCTGCTGAAATTGCTGCCATTCGCATCTACATACCTTTGCGAGACAGCTTTCTCCACATTAACTGCTATAAAAACAAAATATCGCTCCAGACTTAACGTAGAACCTGATTTGAGGGTGTCTGTTTCTGATAATATATCACCAAGAATTAATATACTGACTGCAAGTGTGCAAGCACAAGGTTCACATTAGATTGTAAGGTTACGTATATGTACCTTCTTTTTTAAATAAAATATTAAAATAATTGCTTGTCTCATTTAATGCCATCATAAATATTACTCGTATGTTAAATGCATATTTTCTAGTTTGCTCTAATATTACTTTCCAAAATAAATAAACTCTTCAATATAAATAATTTACGAAATAAAAACAGCTAACTTCGTTATCTGAACCTGTTAACCTGTTGCACTTGTTAACTTAGTGATTTTTTTTCTGGGGTCGCTCATAACACTTTTTTGAATTTTGGGGTCGCAATATCAAAAAGGTTGCGGACCGCTGGGATAGGGGGTGGGCGCAAACGAGCATACGGCTCACCTGATGGTAAGTGGTTACCGCCGCCCATGAGCAGCTGCAACACCAGGGGGATTGCAGATGCGTTGCCGGCCTTTTAAAAAGGAGTAGGCTCTTTTCTCTTTTTGTATTACCTTTGTTTACCCATAATCTTTGTTTCTATTCATTTCTAATTAAATGAGTACTATACGCCAGTAAAAATCCCGGAAACTAGCTACATTAAAAAAAAATACTTTAAAGAATATAACTCTTTTTTATAAAAATAATTATTCTTAAACGAAATTTATTTTATCACGTCTAATTTTAATCTCCTTTGAGGTAATTTCTCATATAGCCATATTAAATTCTCCTTGTTCATATTGCAGTGACAACAAAATCCAATTATTTTATGCAGTTTAATTGAATCTCGAGGCAGTCCATTCATTAATATGATAAATATTAATTCAGTCTCTTTAATTAATTTCCATTGTTTTGGACTGTGTACAGACACAAAGACTCTTGATTAACTATTGGTTTCACTTTAAGCAACTAACCTTACTGCGTTGTGTGGGTTACACAACTCTTCTAAAAGAAACAGCATTTAGAAAAAAAAAATCTCTATAGACTCTTGAGCTAGCATTGTACTATTACATTTTATTGTGCGGCCTTGACTACTATCCCACTGGATAGTAAGAGATGATGCAGCTGGAGAGGATAAAGCGTACTAACTTAGCTTAACAAAAGTTTACACACTACTGCCTTGAAGACGTCTGCACTGAAATCAGATAGTAAGACAGATGATAGCATATTATTCTTTTTTTTCTGTCTTTTTTTACAACATTACCTCCACACCAGGAATTTCTCTCACAAGGACAAACACACACTTGAATGAACAATTACTTGTAGGCCATACAAATTTTTGTTCCGTGCGGGATGCGAACACGCGACCCTTAGCGCTGTAACTCATTGCTAAGCCACTGCGCCACGGAGCCGTCAATTATCTCACTCCTTTGCGCATTATGAATCGCGGTCTTATGAGCAATAAATAAATTAACCATGGAGGTAACGATAAATAAGAATAGTAAATACTTAAAGAGTAGAACTTTTTAACGTGGTAGAGCCATGCTGCAATTATATTAGTAGTATAGTTGTGGCACGAATGGGTCGGCTCGACCGGGGAGGGACCACGCTCTCACAGAATACCAGCGTGAAATGGTAGCTTGATGCTGCTGTGTTTCGTATGGTGAGTGTAGAGAACCGGAGACCCTTTTTACTGGAAATGAGGCATTCCATCTCGGTCCTCACGGGTGACAACGCATCTGCATTTTGATTTGTAATGGAAGATAGATGTAGATGTCTATGGGCCGCAGCAACCACTTACCATCAGGTGGACTGTGTGCTCGTTTGTCACCCTATCCTATAAAAAAAAAAGGATTCAATGCGATTGTATGTCCTTTTATATGCGATAACATCGTCGATTGTGAACCGATTTTGATGATGATGTTTTTATTAAACTGTTTACACTTCGAGGGTGATCGTATATATAAATTTGGAAAATTCCAAGCCTAAGGGTGGAAAGCAGGGATATTGTCTTAGTCAATCAGGGCAATGTCAACTATGACGTAGATTTCCACACAGTGTTTTCCTTAACTTCCGTCATCACGACGTAAAATTGCAATTTACTATTTCAGTGGTACCGGCACAGAAATTGAAACTAGGGTTGTTCACATTCATATAGTTTCTAAGCGGCTCCGATCAAATGTAAACATTGGTTGGTCACACGGTCTGTGAGTCTCGAGACCTTTTGGTGCTTTACGACCTTCGACGTATTTGGTCGTTGCATTTCGAATTATGCATTACCGACGTGACCTCTGCCTACTGTCTAACCTCAGGATATTAACTTTTAATAGACCGATTTCAATTTAACTCAAGCAATGACCAAATAGAGAAAAATCAATTTAAAAGGTATCTCACGGTACGCTCAGAATGTAGAGAACAAAATAAACATCCGTAACTCGTTTCTCGATCGCTTATTAACGTAGCGAATTGGTCTATTACATGCACAATCTCAAATATATACCGTATCAACTTTCTGAATGCGATGGAATAGAATAGAATATTTTTTTATTCAATATAGATTACAAGTAAAACGAAAAAAAACCTTTGTCCTGGGAAGAACCAGCAAGAAACCCAGCGGGACTCTTTTTTATCTCAATGGTCACAAACTATTTACAAAATTTATTTTACGACCACCACATTCCCAGGGGTTATTATCAACCATGTATTCATTTATATCATAATAACCCTTTTTATATAGCTTTTGTTTAAATAAATATTTAAACATGGTAATAGTTGTATATTGTCTAAACTTTGTATATTTTCTGGGACTTTGTTGTAATAGCGTATACATTGCCCCAGGAATGAATTACTGACTCTGTGGAGCCGAAAAACTGGTATCATTAGCTTGTGTTTGTTCCTAGTGTTTACAGATTGTATATCACTTTTTTTTACTAAAACATCAAATTTTCATAAATATACTCTGAGAGGCCAAAGTTAATACTTATATTTATTTCTTTAAATTTTTCTCTAAGAGACTTTCGGTTTAAGGTTGTAAATAGCTCTAGATAATATTTATGTCACTGTAAATTAAATTTAATTCAAGACGTTCTAGTAAAAATTTAGAAGTTTTCGTAAGAGAAAACGTCTCGCAGCACCGAGGTTCTTTACGGTTAAACTTTGGCTGGGGGGGGGGGGGGTTCGGACGATAGCAACACCGCCTACCTGTCTTCGTTTATGTACGGTATATAAAAACAATGTATAATTTTCCTATGTTATTATCATCTATTGCGAGTTGTTAGTGTGTTTTTCGTTCGTGTGTGACTTAATACTACGAGTACTACGAAGTAATGGCAGATACAGCAGTAGCGTCCGAAACTCCCGCTCCGGCGACCCCGGCTAAAAAACCGAAGGCCGCCGCTACTGCAGTAGGCGGTGCAAAGAAGC